ACGTCTCTCTCTCTCTCTCTCTCTCGCCCCCCCCACCCCCTCCTTTCTTGTTCGATGCTCTTTTCTTTTTTTTGTTTTGTACTCTCTCTCTCTCTCTCTCCCTTGCTCGCTCATATTTTTACAATTCTTGTTGGTGGTCGAGGACAGTTGCATTGTGCATTGAAATTCAAATTGTTTAGTTGGCCAATTCAAGCAGTGGTAGGCCCTTTCATTGCTGTCATCCATGTATCCATGCAAAAGCTGTGGGTTTATGTAGTGCAAAAGGTGATTTGTGCATTATTGAGAAATTTCTATATTCCCATTCTTTGGTAATGATCATTTATGCATTTGCCATGAAAAGAATATGTGCTTGTCTTATCTCTATAAATATATATCCCTTTTAAGTGGAATGGCGATCAGTACTTGGGCATAGTTACTGGCTTTTCACAGCAAGAAGCTGAACGAAATAGGAGTCCTGTTCCATGACTAGGTAACTTTGAATTTGGAGGCACTGCATGTCGCTGTACAGATTGTCACATACAACTCATTTTCGTATTTCGATGGTTCTGCAACTACCTTTTTTATGTGCGTAAAAAGTTTGGTTTGTATATTGCAATACTGATAGTTGGTTCACTCATCTTGTGTGTATGGGTCTTTCAATGTGTTTGAATATGCACAGAAGCCTGGAGTTTGGATGATATGCTCCAATGCCAATACTTGATTAACCATTTTGTGGGGATTCCTCCCAAGTTTGGGGTTATATCTTGGCATGGTTTCTACTGAAATTGTGCCCTACAAAAAAATGATGTTGTGATATGGATATACTTCGTCTCATTATCAAACATTGGACTAGCTAAGAGCCAATTTCTTGTCTTTTTCTTATTTTTACAGCAAGGAAAACCTGAATTAGCTAATAGAAATATTGCAGGAGACGATGCCCCTTCAACACCAATTTTTCGAAATAAGCTCTGCAATTGTGTTTGCCCTCCTGTAAAAAGATTGATAATTTAGCTAGCCATAACTCGATGCTCTCCATTGACGCGGACTTGGAGAGGTTCAAGTAGAAAGTGATTTGTGGTTGAAGAAATAGCATATTCAGTATTTTTTTTGGTTGCTCCCTGATGGGATGACTCCACAATAGTCTATGCGTGAATATCCATTTTGATTTATGCACATGAAATGCAACGGTATTGTAGACTTCTAACGAGGTAACAGTAAGATGAAACTAAATATAATACCATGCATTAAATCTTTATTGTTGAAGGTTTATGAAGAGAAGAGAAGCTTGCAGCGAATGGTGTTGCATCTTTTAAGAAGAAATCCCATATCTATCATCTAAAATGTTTAGCTCGAGGCGAGAATCTTATGCCAGAAAGTTCTTGCGTCCACATCGAGCAAGAAACAAAAAAAATCGTTGTCAAAAGATTTCCAACTCCGGCAGGAGTATACTATCTATTTACTCTCTCGAGTAAAACTTGCTCTTGCGTTATCTGTTTTATCTCAAATTTTGGGGGTGTAATCTTTAGAATCTAGCAATTGACCTCCAAGAAAAATTAACTTCAAATTTTATGTGCCTAAAAAAATAATCATACTAAGATTGCATTGGTACCCTCCAATTTTTTGGAGGGACTGATCTAGATGCTTATGAACCCAAAATCTTTTTTTAAAAAAAAAAATAATCATCTACTTATAATTCGTTATAATTAGGTAGATCCCAAAACTTCAAATAAAGAAAAAAATCTCAAGTTAGTATTTTGCCCAAGGAGTAAATGTATGGAATGCTCCCAAGGGAGCATGGTATATACACACAATGTTTATAATTAGCCTAATCCACAACACTTTGGGTCCAAATCAATTTGAAGTACGGAGGGCCACTTCTGTTTCATCAGGTGGAATAATAAAAAGGGAAATTTGTTTTATGGATGGCATTTCTACAATATGCAAGGTATAAAGCATCTATCTTAAAAGATGGATGCAAATAGGTGGTCCCTCTAAAAACAATTAAAACTAGCAAAAATAGATTTTTTAAGAGGTGACTCATTTCTACATGAACACATGGAAACCGTGTCCAAATAAAAATGGCTCGGATGCTAAAAGAGTCCTTAGCCCAATCAGCCCCCAATCACGATACCCTTTTATGAGGATGCAAGGAATTAGAACTCCTTAGCACTGGAAAAATGATAAAAGCTTGAGAGAGAGAGAGACAGGAGTACGAAACTGTGTTTAATTCTCTTGCCTTTGAACCCTAATTGCCTCTTATGATGATTAGACAGGGCAAGCTAGATGACCTAAAATCACAGCTTTGGCATCTGTACTTTATATGGATTCTTACAACATTCTTCAGTCTTCATAATTGGAAGGAGAGGGAGGCTCCATGCTATCACTGCTCTTATATGAAACGTGTCTCTGTATCCATTTCCGCTTTGTACACAAAATTGAGCCTACATAAAGAATAGCAAAGATTAAAATGAACACTCCAAAAGTAGAGTTTAAAACAAAATCTCTTTATGTTGAATGATTTTTGTTTTTTTTTTTTTTCCGTTATTTCATGTTAATTACATATCTCTGCAGATAATTTCTTTGCAATCAGATGAGCTCACGTATGGTGTTCGAAGGAAAACAATGTCAGAGTTTATCTTTGAGATACTGCTGGTCATGATTTTGGCTCGCCTTCACAATATCACAGCAATCGCCAAAGTATCCAAGAATTTCACTTTCGATCAAGTGCCATGAAAGCATCATTCCTGCAGCAAAATGTGCTTGAAGCCAGTGGAGTGAGAGAGAGAGAGAGAGATTTGGCTTGCAATTTGTTTAAACACAACGTTAGGATATACCTCAATTTCAAGCGGCAGAGGATACCTATGTAGTGTTACTCTGAATTTATCTTCTGTAGCCGGGCTTTGGCTGTGTCTAGTTGTGGGTGTTTGGGGATTTTAATTAAGGGGATTATATTTTTTTGGGATTTTAAGGCTTATTTTGGTAGTCTTCTGCTTTAGGTTATAAGAAGGGTTTAGTTAGTTTTTATTGTTTTTTTATTTTAGTTGTTATCTCTAATTTTTAGAATCATTTATTTTTTTAAGTCAATAGTGGGTAGCTAAGATTAAATAGAATAGGTGGCTAGGATTTTGTAGGAGCTTTCTAGAGTTTTTTAGATACTCACCTACTTGTTCTTGAGGGATTAAGGGTCGAGTTATGTTTTTTTAGAGACTTTGCATTAATAAAATTTGGGATGTGGATTCTGTTGTACGTGGAAACTTTAAACCCAACATGTTGATTTTTGGCAAATAAAGTATGAAAAAAATATAACAAACAACAAGTAAGAAAATAAAGCAATGAAGAAATAAGAGAAAAAAAAGCACCATAATTTACATGGTTCGTCACATATGTGACTACATCAACGGATACGGTAAATTGAAATCTACTATATCAATAAAAATTACATCATAGATTTTGGGACAGAGTTGTCTCTCTAACTTCGATAAAACTCAGTCAAGCAACCCACCCCTATTCTCCTGACCGACACCACATGTCGTTCTTCCCTCTCTTTACTTCTAACAAACATTATCAGCACCAAATAGAGACGTGAAAACGAGAAACTGATTTACTTCTAGCAACCATTACCAATACTAGATAGAGACGCGAGAGCAACGAGAAACTGATTTTCTCTTTAACTGCAAGAAACTAACTGTCTCTAACTTAAAAGAGAAATTACCCAAAATTTTCATAGGAACCACTTCTCTACAAAAAAACCAGCCTCTACAGGAGGCACCATCTCAGTGTTCTTTCCATTAAGAATCTCTCTTCTCGCTAAGGGGAGGCCTTGCCTCTCATTCACACTGTAGAGGCACCATCACAATCTCTCTCTCCATAAAAAGCCCTCCTCTCTAAGGGGAGGCCTTGCCTCTCATTCACAAGAAGCCCTTTCCTCTCTCTAGAAAAAAAGTTGCTGCTTTTCCCATGTGGTGACCCAAATAAGGCACACATATTCTTTCCTTTTTCATCCCATATATCTCAACAACCAAGATATATATCCATGAGTCTTAAGCTTTTTGGATTTCTATTTCAGCAATCTGAATCCTACATAATATGGGGATTTCTTTATATGGCTGATTTTGTATATCATCATATTCAACATGTTTTTCAGCACTTTTTGTGATTTTCTTCCTTCTCTACTCTTCTTCTTCACAGAAATAGATGACATGTCTTGAAGAGAATAAAGTAGATAAAGGACGAAAATCACAAAAAATGAAGAAGAATATACCTCCCAAATTTTATTAAGGCATAGTCTAAAAAAAACAAACTCTGCCTTAAACCCTTTAATAACAAGTATTTAAGTAACTCAAAACTCATAGAAAGTTCATATGAAATCCTAACCATTTAGTATATAAAATCTTAACAACTCATTTAGCCGACCCTAAATAATTGGAAAAAAGCTATTATGATGATGATGAATCCTATCCACTCATTATTAACTTAAAAATAAATGAATGACTCCAAAAATAAAAAGTCAAATAAAAAACAATAAAAATAGAATAAAAACTTACTAAATCCTAATAACCTAAAGTAGTAGACTACCAAAAATAAGCTTTAAAATCGCCAAAATAGATATCCCTTAATCCCCTTAATTAAAATCCACAGAAAAACCAAATTTGTCCATCTTATGCCTTATGCCTATGTCAGTTGCTCTACCAATAAAGTGAAATATAGTCTCTCTCTCTTTCTCTCTCTCACATAGATAAAATTTATATAAGGTTGCAACTTAAAAATGTAGAATTAAAGATGCACCTCAAAAATCATTGGGAAAGGTTGTTGTAATGTTGAAAAACTCTCTAATTGATCATCTCAATATCGAGATATATGAATATGAAAAAAAAAAAAAAAAATTTGATTTATAGAAATAGTATATCTTGCAACACATTATCTTAGACTGTCCCCTTTCAAGATTTTCATACGTTTATAGATCTACTTAATTTTAGCCATTTTTGGAATTTAAAATTTTATTATTAGGGATAAAAAATAGATTTTCAAATAATCCTAAGAATTTTTTACACCAAAATTATATATTATGATAAAATTTGGAGGTGCGCCTGGATTGTGTAAGGTTGCACCATATAAAACCACACCCTATATATATATATATATATATATA